CAAATTTGACAAATAAAATGTATTTTGCAAATGGAAAGATAAATATTCATTGAAAAATTAAAGTAACAGATGCAGGCATACTTTTGCCGACCGATTAACTTCTTAGTATCTTGTTTGAATTAAATGCAACTTGAAGAAAAAGAGAAATCTCAAAACTTTAGCACTCTCATTTTGGGATTATGCGTTGCCACTTATTGGCGTTGGAAAACGCTACAATTTAAATATGTCAGTAAGGGATACCGTCTCTTAGTCATATGGTTTATTTAAGGGTTTATATAAGCCATGCTGTTCTTAAGGGGGGAGCCTGGTTTAGACGGTAAAAAAAAATCGATTTTTTTAAACTTATCTCATTCGCTTAGAAATATATTCAGAAATATTTCCACGAAATTTCAGAGTCAAATTCCTAGTAGTTCCGCAGAAATGGCCTCTGAGAGACAATGCGCTCAGGAGACTGATTAGCGGGCGCGAGAACTTTAAACGCGTTTTTCTCAAATCGATGTTTTTTGAGTCGGTGCACTCTGTATCTCAGAATCTATTCAACCGATCGTTCTCAAATTTTTTACAGTATTTCCTTACATAATTTATGAGGTAACCCTGTCGAGATTTCTTCGTTTTTTATTTTAATTTTTTTATTATTAACAACAATAGTCCTGAATTTTGACCAAAAATCGGTATTTTCACTTTCAAGTCTTGTAAAAAGTTCAAAAATTAAAAAAAAAATGGAAAAACTCGACAGGGATACCTAGAGGGACATAAAAATTGATAGAAAAACTTTGGTTATTTCATTTTAGATGGCCCAGTGCTGAGGTATGACGTGCACCGCAAAATGTATTTTTTCTGAGGCGCCTGCGATGAATTGCTGCCATTCGGTCAATTGTCAATATTTTCCAACCAATATTTCACAGAATATAGTTCAATTACAACTCTTTAATGTACAATAATCAGAAATAAATTTACTTTCACCGTACGCCCAAAAAAAAATCTGTAGAAACCTGTTTTTTTAATTGGGGTGCGCTGGCTGCTAGGGTGAGTTCCAAAACATCAGTTATAAAGCAACCATACATTGTCACGCATTCCTAATGATGACACCGATAACTACGGTATGTTCTAGACCACGAATATTGAGTGTATTGTCTCTGGAACATATCTAGAAATATCCAGAGCTGATTACGAGATACGTCAACACTGTAAGAGACAGTTTCAATTGAATTCATTGTAGTAGTAGTAGAGCAGACTGGGGAACAAATTCGTCCTTGTGGTTAAGGACTATACTAGCATATGGTCGGAGGTCTACCTAATTCCAAGCCAGGAAGTTAAAACTGTTGCTGATGCGTTCTCCTGCATTGGGTTGCGAGATACGGTGTACTTATTGAACTACACTCTGACCAAGGAAGGAATTTCGAATAGGTGGTATTCCAAGAGATGTGCCAGATACTGGTATTTGGAAAACCAGAAATACTGCTATGCATCTCCAATCAGATGGTATGGTATAACGATTCAATCAAACTCTGGAAGAACTCACGAAACAACGATTAAAGCATTAGCAAGGATACTCCTCGGGAGTGAGCTTCCATTGTCTAGTTATTTTAAATTTGTGTAAATGGTGTTGCAAGAAGAATTGTGAAGGAAGCGTCTAACGTCCTACAGGAAGAGCTTAGAGAGATACAAGCTCAAGAGAGGCTGCGAACACAAAATATGAACGCTCAAATGATAATAATGAAATTCCTTTAATATAGATTTATTTGAACAAAATTCTTTGATGTTTTTAATTTACATGTATAGAATATATGTATGAACTTATGATTATTTTACTCTCTACGTATTGTAATTTCGAGTACGGAATTGAGGTTCATTGTAAAGCGATTCAGCCGTAACAGTGGAGTGTAGTTGATGACTCTATAAACACTGTGGCCCAGTAAAAAACAGTTCCTAAATTTGTTTTTCCTAACCCGGTGCTTCAGATGACTACTATTAAAAATATTCCACCTGCATACAGGTCCCTTATTTCCGATCTTGCAATACAGGCAGCTTCATTCCATTTAACGACGTGCTCAGAGTAAAATCACCACCCATAGCAGCCAACGAGCTCGAGCTGCCTCGAGAGACCCGCGTGACCCTGGCATAACTCAGGTCAGGATACTGTAGCAAGTTAACTTGCTCCTCCTCCTACTTATCCATACTAGACCACAGCATGTCCAACGTATGCCCTGCATGTGGAGAGTCTCCGCTCGGCACTAACCACCTCTTCCCATGCATCCTTAAACCAATTCACCTCCCTCCTCTCCCTTTAGTCCAGCCCTGTCAAAGAAGCTCGTTTCGGCGACTAAGATTAATCAAACCTGTACCAAACGGGATTATAACAACAACAACAGCAATGTGTTTCATTGAGGTGATTGGATTCTGACACGAGTGCCCTTTAGAACCTCCACTATTCGCTAAAATGTTTACATTGTGTTCTCAATTTTCCTGCTTATCTTCGATATTCTGGTGAATGATTGGATATTGTGAAAACGAATTTAAGCTACCATCCGATTGGGTTGTAGTGCTTAGCCGGAAAACGGCCCTAAGTATTCCTTTACAATTGGAAAGATCCCCATAAGCTAATCAAACGTCTAAACAACCTAGTGCGTGAAATCCAGACCTTTGGAAGAGTAAGAAATAAAGTGATCCACTTAGAAACAATTGCAGCGTTGGGAACAACAGATATGTGTGATTTATGGGTCTAGCTAGAAGAAGGCATATATTTCGAAACTTCATAGATATACTTTGCCTTTTAAAAGCTAGAGCTTCTTGTGGATCCAGTGAACTACTATATTCAATTTTTAACTCTAGAAAACCATTTATTTGTTCCATTCCGCTGTAAAGCAATCTCTTTAAACATGATATAATATTGTTACGATTTTACTAAATCAACCTCGATTATTTTCCGAATCCTTCGGATACGATCTCTGGATTGTTAAATAAAACTCGCCAACTTAATTTGCAGTTTCTTTCGTAATAAAGGTTTTATCTATGTCCTTTATTTACTTCGTAATACACAATTCAATTACAAGGCACTTTACTAGCTACAATCACTTGCATCAACTTTCACCATTTACTCTACTTAATTCCCAACGCGTTTACTTTACGACTTTACCGATGTTAACGCCAACGAGCTCACTTTGTAACTAACTT